GGACGCTGCTCGTTTGAGCTCACAGGCATTGGGCGGGGCTTCGCGGGGGAGTCGCTTAATAACCGACCAACACGGAACTCAAGGGCTGCCCCTTCCTAGCGGGGACCCTGCACAGACCCGAAAATAAGGAGGTTTTGCTCTGCCCTCCCTGGTTCACGTGGGCACCTTGGAACACTGAAGAAGGCATTTTCCGAACTCACTGTCCTAAGGACTTATTTTCCGCACTGTTTTCACCTCCTTCACCCCTGTTCTCGTGACTGACAGGATTTGGGGTCACAAGCGGGCAGCCCGAGAGCTCTGCTCACCTGGAAAAGCATTTTTGTGTAGCTTAAATGTGAAGGCCTCAGGCAGTGGTCTGCTGTCCTCCTCCACCTGCGCCCATCATCACTCTTTTCTGCGACTGGCCTGTTTTTGAAGGCAGGACCTTGTCACCCTTGGCTAGGCCAAGTATGTTCTGCACGGAAAATGGCCCTGCCCTCTGCATTGAATAGCTAGCTCCTAGGTTGGTTTATTTTAGCAGATAAGCGTTACAGGGTAGGAGGACTTCTGGCTGCATCAGAACCACAATTACCCCTGTGTTTCTGGGTGGGATAAGTGACAGCTGACATTCTGGCAGCTCAGCCCCGCTTATCTCAGAGGTTATAGATCTGAGGTGGTTTAGATCCACCCCCAAATCACGAACATTTTACATAAGCCGTGCTAGAGTTAGCATAAAAGTCTCACACAGAAAAATTTGGAAACTGAGAAATCCTAACCTATTCCCACAAATCTGTGTTCCCATTTTTAGGTCTTAAGATATGAAAACAATGGGATAACTGAGGCTGATTTTGCTGTGTGGCCATTAGACCTAGAAGTATTGGTGTGATTCTGGAGTTGATTGCTCACAATCAACTTATTTACTTATTTTCCTTTTTTCCCCTCCACTTCCTCCTCCTCTATTTAAAAACGTATGGAAATGTATCCGGCAATGTTTGCTGTAAAAAATAATGTATGGAAATGACTACGATTTGCTAAAATAAAAATCATTGAGCACTTATGTGTGTCAGACACTATGCTAGATATAAAGAGGGGAAGACAATGTTGTCCCTCTTCAAAAGAGAGTCACGCACACAAGTTACAGTGCAGTCATAAATACCATGATCACAGTATGCGCAGGCCCATTTTCTCTATCTGGGCAATGGGAAGGTTCAAAACTAAGCTAGGTTTTGAATGAGGAATAGTTTCATTTTGAAGCACATCCATTTTGCGATACCTCTGGACCTATCTAGTGAACAATTTAGATGCATGGTTCAGAAGCTCGATGGGAGGCTTGGGAACACAGAATGTGTAAAATAAGCATCAGTCTCCCCTTCACGCTGCTCTGCACTTTTTAAGGGTCATCTCTCTTTAGTATATATTGCTAAGAGATTTTATGGATGATACCAATTCTTTTTTCTTTTTTTTTTGAGACAGAGTCTCACATTGTTGCCCAGGGTGGAGTGCAGTTGCACAGTCTCTGCTCACTGCAACCTCTGCCTCCTGGGTTCAAGTGATTCTCCTGCCTCAGCCTCCCAAATAGCTGGGATTACAGGAGCCCACCACCACGCCCGGCTAATTTTTGTATTTTTAGTAGAGACGGGGTTTCACTATGTTGGCCAGGCTGGTCTTGAACTCCTGACGTCATGATTCACCCGCCTTGGTCTCCCAAAGTGCTGGGATTACAGGTGTGAGCCACTGCGGCCTGCCAGCATACCAATTCTTATGAGAGAGTGTCAGGGGTAGAAGAGATCCAAGAGAATAGTTGACCAGGTAAAAAAACTGATAGAGGTCAAATGGAAATAAGCCTGAGAATTGCCCCGTCAGATTTAGTGTTTAGTAGGTATAGTTATAGTGCCACATATACAATAACTGCATTCCTTTTGAAAGCATATAGTAAAATCAAATCTGATTAGCCTAAGTAACAGAGGTGATTTATTGTAATGATTCTGGGGTATCTGACAGATTGTAGATATTCTCCCTAGAGTGCTCCTATCCAATATAAATTTCTGTAACGATGAAAATGTTCTATGTCTACTCTAATATGGTAACCATTAGCCAAAAGTGCTATTGAGCATGTGAAATGTAGCTAGTGCAACTGAGACCCTGTAAACTAAGATTCCAGTCAAAGAGAAAGGAAAAAACAGTGAGCTTGCCTACAGTCTTTAAGACCTGGGCCCAGAAATAGTACACAGTATTTCTGCTTACATTCCACTGGAGATAACTTAGTCACATGATCACACCTAACTGCAAGGAAGCCTGGGAAATGTAGATTAGCAGTGTACCTGGAAAGACTGAGAAAATGGTTTTGGTGGACAACTAGTGGTGGTCAGAATACAAAAAGTAATAATACAGATTTCCTGCTTTCAAGAATATCACAGGTTTAGTGGGAGACAGATGAGT